AAGCCGAGCTCTTTGGCCGTAGCTGGTGGTAGTAACCGTCTGGATGGGGACCATCGCCTTTATTAGTGTTGCCGCAAAGAAGTTCGCTGTGCTCCGGTCTGGTGGGAAAGGTGCAATGTTATTACAGGATCACATTCGAGGGTATTCCATCTTAGACCCCAGGGGCAGCAACGCATTTGAGGGACTTGATCCTGAAGGTGTTAATAGGCGACAGTGTTTGCTGTCTCTTTAACATTAAAAAGTTTCAGCGTTTGATTTAGTGGAGACCCAGAATATCTAGGCCATTGGTAGGTAATAGGCACTGACACATCTTGGAAAATGGGAGTCAGGTCAGTCGGTCTCCGCTTAGTATTCTACTAACATTCATCATAATTATGATGAGATTGTCTGCATAAACAGTCACAAATCACATCGACTGACAGTTTAATGTCAAAATCAACTTAGTAGAGGCTTTGTGGTAGACATACGTAAACATAAACATACTTTCATACACAATTATAAGCATTATTATACCCACATAATTATGTAGCTTGAAGATTATGCAAACATAATCTTCCATTTTAACTTTGCCGCAATCGGGTAAAAAGCCAATAAGAAATAATTCTAAGTAAGAGAGTTACAAACAATGGTGAGTCATACAATTTAAAATTAAATTTTAATTACTTCTGTTTACTGCATCTCTCATTAAGTTGATAGACTTTAAAACTAAAATTATTTTAATGACGATTCTCTTTTCTTCTCATAAAGACTCTGACTTACCATTTAATATCATCATCAATAGCCCGAAATCGGTCACTGTTGGACGTAAGACTCAATCCTTCACGAATATCAATCGATATCGATAATACCTACCTATTTTCAGGGTAACATCTCTTCGAAAAGAAGATAGATGCGAGGATGCGTAAACCACTGATTGGTCAAACACTAATTTAAATTTTTTTTAAACAAATGTTGCGAAGAATTTGAGTGTTTGTATCAAATTAAATATCTCTTGTTCGAAACCTAAATTCTTGAGATCAGAGATAATCTCTACGATTAAGTAATCCACTCAATTCAATGAAAATATTTGACTTTTCTGTGTACGTAGTCAAAAATTCTTTAGCTAAAATGTTATTTCTTACAGGTAAAAAATCCAAATTCTTGAAACTAAAATTTCGGTTCATTGTGACAAAAAAATCAATTTTCTACATAGAACTACGCGGTTTACTACTAGTAAAAATACAGACTTCTCGAAACTAGAATTTTGTTTCATTGCGACAATTAATTAAATTTTCTTATACAGAAGTATACGATTTTCTAGAGATAAAAATATCAATTTCTTGAGAAAACTATTTCGATTCTTTCCAGTTAAGAAATTAACGCTCTTAGGTTAAAGATAATTGAACAGGATAAAAAAACTCAAATTGTTGACACTATAATTTTGGTTTCTTAACACTAAAAAATACATTTTCTCTGTGTAATAAAATGAGTGTCTGGTTACAAGAATTTAAAATTCTTAGCCTGAAGTTGTATGAATTATTTATAAGAAAAGAAATATAATCTTCATTGAACCAATTATGTTTCCTTTAAAACAAGCAGTTTCTCTAATAGAAAAAATGTTACGTAATCAGTTTAAAAGCTTAGATTATTTTAAAACAAATGACTTATTTTAAATTAAGAATTCATGGTTTTGAATGGAAGGAATGAATTAAGTTTGATTAAAAAGCAACAAATTTACTTACTGGAAAGGCAGTTCTGTTGAATCAAAATGTTTGCCTCTCGTTTTGTAGAAGAAAATGATTTTTTTAAATCAAGTATGTCGACTATTCCTCAAAGCAAACATTCTTGGATGGAAATAAAAATGTTCAAGAGCAAATAATTTCTTGGTCAAAGAAAATCCCAAAATCTTTTTTTTCATGGTTACATGTTTATTGACTAAACACAATTACAAAAAGAAGATTGCCTGTCGACTTTGTGAGGAACTGGTGTCTGTAAGGGGCGATAGCCTGAAATACAGATCACCAGGACCCACCCCACGGGAATTATGACTATTTTCGCATTAAATGACTAAGTAACTATTGTGCTTATTTTACTACAAGGAAAATATTGGAAAAAAATGAAAAAGTAAAAAAAAATTTAAAAAAAGTGAAACAATCCAGTAGTCAATTTGTGTTTGATTATGTATTTTGAATGTTTATGTGAGTGAACAAGTGTGATAGTAAGAAAGTTTCAGTGTGAATGTGTTTTGGTGATGTGTGTTTTTATATAATAATAGTTATTACTTTATGTATGTGTTGTTAGTAAATTCTCTGTTTCGTTATAATTAAGTTTCTGTAGCCAGTTTCCAATCTTTTTCTTTATCTGTGTTTTCGTAAGTTTGTATATTAGATGTATTTTACTTATCTTATTTTATAAAGAGGCACCCTGGAAACAAATAAATCGATGTGAAAGAGATGTCCTTAATTGTGGTATTTTATAGACGAGATCCTTCCTACGTCTTCCATCCAGTTGTTTAGGGTTATACTCGTCTGCAGAATGCTGATATAAAATTGTTTGGAGGATGTACAACTGACGCACTGTTAAGTCTTCCGACCGCTGATAAAAATCCTCAGTCGAACGATAGTAAGGTAGGGAGTGACTCACTTTCAAAATGGCACGTTGCGCCCTTTCTATTTTTAACATATTACTTTTTGTAGAGCCTCCCCAAGTGGTGATACAATATGTGAACAGTGATTGACAGAGTGTTTGGTAAATATTTTTCATCAGTTTTTTATCAGCAATTTGGCGTAGCTTTTTAAAAATAACTATTAATTTTCTTACTCGTTTTGATAAAAGTTCTATATGTTCTTGAAAACTTAATTTGTTATCTATCACTACTCCTAAGTATTTTATCGAAGAGACAATTTGTATCTCTGGACATATACAACTTGAGCTTGTAGGATTCATGCAGTTGTGTAATAATAAATTATTTTGAACTATGTTTGTATCAGTGTCTTTTAATGAAAAATAAAGAAATTGTGTTTTTTTAATATATACTGTCAATATATTCTCGGTAAGCCAATTTGATACTGTATTTAAACCATTCTGAGCGTTTGTAAAGACTTCATCACAAGAACCACTATTAAATAACAAAGCTGTGTCATCTGCATATGTTATAATTTTAGTATATGGAAGTTGCAGCTCACAGAGATTGTTGATATATACTAAAAATAGTGTTGGTCCTAAAATACTGCCCTGCGGTACACCGAAGGTGATTGGTAGCTCTTCGCTGCAGAAGTTATTAATTTTGACGCATTGGCTACGGTTGGTTAGGTAACTTTCAAAAATTTTGAGTTGGGAATTCCTGACACCGACTCTTTCAAGCTTTTTTATCAAGATTGGGACAGAGACAGTATCGAATGCTTTTGCGAGATCCAGAAACACAGCGATTGCTTTCTTTTTACTGTCCAAACTGGTTACCAAAAAGTTTGTCAATGTATGCACTGCATCAGAAGTTGATTTTTTAGATCTGAAGCCATATTTGTACTGCGATATAATACGATATTATACTTTTCAAGGTAATTAGTTAATCTTGTATTAAGTAAGCATTCCAAAATTTTCGATAAACTTGTTAGAATACTTATGGGTCTATAGTTTTCTACGCAGTCTTCATCACCATTCTTATGGATGGGATAAATTCTTGCTTTCTTTAATGCAGTTGGAAATATACCAGTCGTCATTGCCAGGTTACATATGTATGTGATTGGGGGGACTAAAACGCCTTTATTTCTTTTTAATAACTCAGCTGGGATTGAGTCTATGCCCACAGTGCAGTCAGATTTTAGATTTTCAATTAAGGTTTGAATTTCATCATCGTCAGTCGGTAGTAGAACAAAAGAGTTTGTTTGTGAATTGGACGAAAATGTCGATGCAGCAGTGTAGGGTTTCATTATTTTCTGTGCTAAAGATTCCCCAATATTTACAAAAAATCGGTTAACATTGTTAATTGATTGTGACGGATTATCAATAAGCAATTTTGTAGGTGTATCTTTAGTTTTGACAGTGTATGTGATTTCTTTGATGGTCTTCCAAAGTAGCTTATTGTTATTTGCATTATGTAATTGGCGTTTATCATAGTTTAATTTTAGTTTTTTTAATAATAGAAGAGCAGTAGTTTCGATATCTTTTATATGTCATTATTATAATTTCGTTATTTGGATTTCTTTTCATTTTTTTATGTAAGTTGTCTCTATTTTTAAGACATTTTAAAATTCCTGGTGTCATCCATGGTTTTATAGTCATTTTACGTCTGGGTATTTTTTTAGGTGAGGTGTTTTGCATTATTAATGTACTTAGAGAATTAACAAGGTAGTTTGTGGCTTTGTTGACGTCCACCATTTCATATATTGGGCTAAAGTACATATTCTTTATGTCACTGTCAAGTTTCGCAATATCAACGCAGTTTGGTTTTATTACTGGTGTGTATTTGGGTTTTAATTTAAGATACAACGTGACACTATTGTGATCTGTTATGGTTGTTTGGAGGACAAGACATTGTGCAGGTAATGTTGTCTTTAACATAACATGATCCAGGCAAGTCTTACCGTGTGTAGGAATAATATGTCCTGGCAGAATGCCGTGATAGGCTAACATGTCTAAGTAAGACGATAGATCAGGATCATGACTGTCCTCGGCAATATCTATGTTAACGTCGCCTAAAATGACAATGTTTTGGGCAAAAGAATATTTTGTCAAAACGCTATTCAAGGATTGCAAAAAGAGACTTCTATTTTTGTGACCCGGTGGTCGGTATATCGCAAAAGCAATTGTATTTTTGTTTAATTTAATAACAATACAATTAGCATCTGCCAATAGTGGCTCATCAAAACCGACAGACAATTCCTTTTTATGGTATACAACAACACCCTCATTTTGTGTGAGATTGCGTGTGGTTGCTATAGAGTTATATCCGTCTATAATAGGTATTTGTGGAGTAGTTTGCAACCAGCATTCAGACAAAACAATAAAATCCCAGTCTATACTCGTGCTAGTGAGCCCATGAATTGTCGCCGATACAAAAACGGCAATAGAATCTGGCCAAGGGATTGTAGTGTATTGACCCCACCATCGGTTCATCACCACTGTTACATAAAAACCTAATACAAACGAGAGCGGTATCACATTCCCGTGAAAACTACAATAGTTAACTACACCTTCGAATATCCTGAAAAAGTATAACATTTAGTTGACAATCGTAACTTGCCTAAATAAGTATCTCTACTGTAGCTTTGTTATTGCCTTCATTTTGCAACTAATTAAAAATGTATAATCACCTTTTGGAATTTTCATCTAGTAATAAACGATACGTCAAACTCAACGTATAATATAACAGCAAGAACACGAAGAGGTCCAGCCATACTAGCTTGTAGATACTTCCACGCCATCTGAAACAAAAAAATTACATTCAGTCAGGGAAAACCAACATTACAGTTCTATATTTATTGACGACATGCGATGATAACTATTCTTGTTTATTACGTTATTAAAGAAATATAATGAAGCGCGAATAACAGCTCTATCAATATTTATTTATACATGCAATTGTTTTTTATAGTTTGGCTAGGTTACATTTTTTTGTATTCTTTGATGTTTTCATTTGTTTTATCGAAGAGTAAATGCTGATGCGAGTTTTTCCAATATCAGCGATAGTGATATTAATAAATTACTAAAATAAAATATATATAACAAAATTATTAACAAATATGGTATGCTATTTTGAATAAAACACAAGATATATATACTAATATTATAAAGATTTATTTGCTTGCATTGCATAGGTTCATAGTTGCATAGGATTTTAAAAATTCTTCCACCTACGGGAAGCTACAACATACACGGGCAGCATAAGCTACTATTTACACGGCTACTTGACAGTTATAAATATATTAGAAATGGTATGTAAGTAACATGCAAGCAATAATTATGTGGTATTATTTGTTTTTAAATTAATTGTAAGTGTATTTTACTTTTGCATATTTAAATTGCCATTCGAGTCGGTGGAGTACAAGAACCTAAATACTGGCGGCCATAACGGAACATCAACGGAACATTTCAGTAAACTAAACGTAATCGTCTTTGTTGCGAGTGAAATGTCGAAAAATATGATAGTGGTTATTAAACCACAATCATATTAATGATCGTATGAAGAATATAAAATACTTTTCCCAAATCAAAGAACAGTTGGTATTTGACAATATGGATAATACCTAGGTAAAACAAATAAATCCTAATTAGTCCGTCAGTCAGATAATAGAAAAATATTAGATATGTATTTTTTTACTTCAATTTAACAAGAAATGGCTACGTCACAACTATGTATAAAAATACAAAGATGGGAAATCATGTGACATTTGAACTCAATTTATTGAGGCGATTTATTGATTACGCATAAAATAAACAAAACTTACGTTTTTAATATTCTTCAATAATCTTCCTGATGAACAGACAAACACAATCAGTCATCACCCATATTGATATTGACAGCCTCAAGCAAATTAGTTTGACAAAACAGCTAATGAGTTGTACTGATGCGGATGCTGATGCCGATACGTACCACGTACAAACACAGAAATCCTGCTTGATCATATTAATAAATATATAATTTCAATAGTTTATTAAACGAGTACACAGATCACTATAATTACAAAAGATGAATAAGGACGGATACATTTATCAACTTAATTGCTCTGGCGATATGAATCGTGTCTACAATACATGATGTACAATTGCAGTACTGAACTCTGCTTTAGTTTCACGCTTAGTAACAGTCTGGGTAATTGCTAAAAAAATAATTTGTTATGATCTAACTTTGTATAAAATTCGATTTAAAAATCTATAATATCTATTAGGTACATTGTGTTCAGATAAACAGAAACAGAAGGAAGATATAGCTCAACATACGTCATTTATTTACTTTCTGAATTTCTCGAATTATAAAAATAAAACTGCAAGTAGCTCACTCACGTCACGCCTCTCGCGTACAGAGATTTCATTGTAGACGTGTTTAATCTCATAAGATAATCACTCTCGAATGGAGTAGTAACACAATTGAGTAGGTACAATTCAAACCAGTTTAATCGCTTCAACATTTGAAGTTTTTTGACCTTGCAACTGCCAAGTGGCATATATAAAATTACAATTCACGGCAAAAACGTTACACGCGAATCAATCAAGCTTCATTGGAGTGATATATACCAAGTGCATCCATCATCATCAGTCTATACTGCATGGTTGGGAAATCTATTCTAAGGATAGAAGTAAATAAGGAGAACGGGTCACATAACCCACAATATCGGCCCAGTGCGCGACTGCTGATGCAGTCATGCTTTCGAAACACGGAACAATTCGAAATAAAAACTTATTGGTCACACATATTACCAGCCTTTGCGGAATTGGCTGAACTTCCACATCGCAAACCAAATGTGCTAACTACTGTCCCATTGCGGTCCTCAATTGTATAGTACAGCTAATAATTTGACTTTAGTTAAAGAACAAAGTATGTGCTATTGTATTTAAAAATTATATCGATGATAATTTGGTACGCTTAAGGCGTTTTACGATTTTTGTGATTTATCAATGAAATATATTGAGGCTGGCTGAGCATAAAGACATAAGACTCATCATTACACCCAGTAATTTAGCAGCAATCAAAATTTAAAATCTGACAATAATTTAAAGCTACAACATTCCAGCCATTTTATATTGTTTTTTTATAAGTCCACTTTTGCAGACCCGGGAAGTGTGATACACAACACACATTCAATACGTACCTATACCCAAGGTCACTACTGTTTACCTATCTTAAGCCAAAACATATGTAATTACATAAATAGGTTACAGTCGAGTAAATAGATAGGATCGTTAAACTTATTTTGTAATTTGTGAAAATCCACATTGAAACTAATTGAATCGGTAGTTTTAACAACTTAATTTTGAACTTGGATAATTAAGAAATTACGAACTAACAGAATAATTCTAATTTTGTTGTTCTACTTATGTAGTAACGTAAAAACACGTAGATAAATGCGTACCTAGGTCGTTATGAGTGGGAATCACATGGGGAATATTACGTCATCATTGTACGCTCGGTCTGGCTTTTGATTCGGAAGTTCGGCGACGACTGGTTGGCGCCAGCCATAAAAGCGACGACTGTAACGAACCATTGAGATAAGTATAAGCCAGATTTTATTTTTCATCTCTAGTTGAATGAGGTGAAGTAAACAAACCAGAAGTAACTGAAACTTTAAATGAAATAAGGTTTCATAAACTGCTTAAGAATCTTTATTAGTTGACCCAGAAAACTGAGTGATTCTTAAGGCTATTTACATTGGTCAACGGGGTTCCCATCGTATGTAGTGTATAGGCGACATCTACTTATCGTTGGTCGATAAATTAATGACAGACGTATAAAAATGAGCCACAAAAATCGCCCGCACCTCGCATGTGATTGTAGAAAACATCGACTAATGTTGGGATGTTCAGTATGACATCTGATAAACAGTACGTTACAACTGACTGAACAATATCTGGCCGAAGCAATGCCGAAGTATTGTTCCTCTTACGGTGTGGAATACAGAGTACGCGAGTAACTTTAATAGCGACTTATTCAATTAAATTAAAATTAATCGTTATTTTGTACGTTATAACCGTGGGGTGGTGCCACCACTCTGTGGCTGTGAGATTTGTTGTCGGCCGCTTGTGCATTTATTGGCGGGTAGACGGGCGAAAAAAGGTCTAGCGAATACTAATCGGGTGAGGAAGTTGCTATATATCGTAGTTTCAAAGTTTTAATAAATTCGGTTCTGCAGCTTTTCTACCCAAGCATATTCCAGTAAAATCCATAAAGCACCCTCCGAAAGTATCGAAAAAAAATTGAAAAATAATGAATTTTTAATGTTAGTGTAGTTAATTCAATATCATCTAAGACACTTCACATAAAACGATACTTTCTGTACGGTCCGTTTCTTATTGTCTGGCAAAAACATGCGAACCCATAAGTTGCACATTAGTAACTAATGTTGCGGCGGTCGACTAACCGTATTTTAAATAACATAATTACTGTCTTATTGGATGCCATGAATTTTATAACAATGCTTTATTGGGCTTCAGTAAAGTGTTACAGCACAAAACTGCTAACCTTGAAGAACCAAAACTACAACGCAATTGTGTTATGTGGGTAGGGCACTATATGAGTAGTATTGCCATCTGTCAGCCTGTAGCTGAACATTTAACATATTAGGCACTTGCAACAACGCCAAAATATCGGGAAATCAACAAAAACAAGGTAGCAATCGTGCAAGAAACTGTCATTCTAATCCTAATAAAAATATTATCTAGTTTTGACTGTGACAAGACCCTTAGAAATGTGATCTCGTTGCTCATTTTTAATTACAGAGTATTTTGGAGTTAGATGGCATGGCATATCCCTTAAACCCTTAACGACTGGATGGGCTTCTATGGGGCCATTCATAAATTACATCACACGTTAGGAGGAGAAAATCATGAATTTTGTGTGACGTAATTTTTGGACGGCCCCTATCCATGATTCCACCACACAAAATTTCTGCTAGGTTCCCTTCGCATATCTAGCTAGAGTACGCATTAAGCTGGGTTCCCACGGTCACTGAAATGGCAGATGGACACCAGACGGTAGACTGGACGGGCAATAGGGCCATGAGAAGGGCTTCTATTGAAGACAAACAAGTTCATTGCGCCCCGGGCGACGGCAACGACTGTATCCTTATTAGTACATACAAGCACTTAGTCACAGATTACATTATATTTAAATGAATCACTAAAACTGATAGTAGACTATTTTGCAATCATTAACACAATATCATCAATATGCTATTAAAAAAGGGTTATTTTTATGTTATCAAATACATTATGCACGGCAATCAACACAATACCTACATCTTTATTAGGTGAAGCAACACGTCTGGATCAGTATGATGAAAAGCTTCAGACAGCTAACACTAAATGGAATATAGTAAATGCTGACATCGCAGCACAGTCACGTGAGATCTCCCTTTTTAAAAATTTCATTTTGGATTCATTGAAATCGATGAAACTACGACTTTAGTTGGTTTCTGCAAGCCATGATCGGTATGTAAATCGGCTATGAGGTGAAAGCACTACTCTTCCACAGTAAGGTTCAACAGCTAATAGCTAACAAATATGGAGGCAGGGACGAACGGTTTGCCACAGACTTGACTGTTCTACTAACAAAGTAACGATTTTTGATATTTAAGATCTACACAGTGTTTTTACAGCTGTCCGGAGGCACTTTGGAATAAAGAATTGCTGGTCATCTGATGGTAAGGTCGTTTCCGTACCTTACAAAAGCGGCACCAATCACAGAGAAGCAGCGTACTCCTACGCGTCC